TAGGCCTTTGAAATCAGGATATGTATTCGGTGTCCTTGGTCTCTCTCTATTTGCAATACGCTTTGTGCTAACATTGCCAGAGTAGCTCTGCAAAGTCTGGCATTAGGCTGCAGGAGCTAATGCCTGGTCCTGTTGAAGTCAATGTGAGCCGAATTCAGCTGGCCCACAATTTGGCTCCTGGGGTTTTATAAAGGTCTCTCGCTTCCTCACCAAATAGCCTGTTGATGCTGGGTGTTAACATACATTTGATGGTCCAAAGGCACCATGATCACCATCTGCTTTGACACCCTGCATGGCCCACGCCTACGAATCTCACCAGTCGGATTCATCCCTATACAGATTGGTGCTCCCCTCCTCGTGATCCTTGCGTGGCTCCTATGGAGTTGGACTTTGAGGCTGTTGAATAACATGGCAGCTCAAGAGGAGCAATGCAAAGGAGGCAGATTCGCTCTGGGGCTATTTGCCTTTGCACGGAAGGCAGTATTGGCCCAGAGGAGAAACAGAGATGAAATGAAATAAAGAAATGAGTGGCTGTCTTTGGAGACCTATGGACTGCACAGAAGGGGCTCTCGGACTCATCACAACCCATTCAGCATGTGGCCTGAAAAGAGAAGAGTGCTTTTCTGCAGCCCCTTTGCACACGGTGCATTGGTTTACCGTAGTGTAGCAAGAGCAAAGCTCACATGATTGAGCAGGAGTAACACACATGGCAAACAGCCACTTCTTGCCGCTGGCAGGATACGAGCCGCTTGGCTAGGTGGGGGCATGTATCCTACTCTGTAGCCATGTGGCGTAGGCCATATTAACGGGTGCCTCAGGCTTTCCCAGCCCCTTGTGTTCTCCTATAAGCCAGGGACCCTGCTCTGCTGCTTGTGTGCAGGCTCAGACTCTCTCTAGCATGTCCCATCACATGCTATTGAAGAGAGCAGAGAGCCGGACGGAGCCCACACAGTCATAAAGAGAAGAGAACACAAACGTCTTGGCTGGCTTTTCCAAGTGCGGTGGTGTTTAGACACAAGGTTTTTGCTGAATCCCATCATTGTCTTCCCCTCATCCTGCTCTCTTTCTCCCTAAGGATCTCAGGGGAGAAAGAGGCAAATGTGGCTACTGGATTTCTTCTGAATTTAGCTAAGAAAAGCTAACAGACATATTTCAAATCTGCCTGCATTTGAACTTCCACCCTCCCTAACATTGGTTGTTGGAGGAAATGGCACATGCAAAGGGGCAGTAAAGTCTAATGGTTGGAGCACGGAATTGGGAGTCACAGTTCTTGGGTTCCGTGCTCTACTCTGCAGCAGGCTCTAGGCAAGTCACTTTAACTTCTCCGCGCCTCTGTTTCCCATTCTATAAAGAGTTATGCTAATATTTCACCATTTCACTGCAGTGTTCGGTGTCAGTCCTATACTATTCCTTTATGGCTCCAATATGCCATTGAGAGACATGTCTGGGCCACAAGCAACGACCTGCCATGAACTATAAGAAAATCCATGAACCTTTATGTAGAACTTTTCATGACAACTGCTTTACAAAAGTGATTAAATAGCTTTGCAGTAGCCCAAACCCATGTTGATTTCAACCAAAAGATTTCTTAATCTTTTCATTTCCCTTTTCTTGCCTCCAGAAATGCTTTGAGGTGACCCCAGTAACCTTGCAACTACAATGTTCCCCTCCACTGTGCGCTTTTAGGGAGCTATGTTTTTAACCACACTGATTGAGCAACTCCTGAGTTAAGAATGGTTAGAACAAAAGCCTGTTCAGAACAAAACACCGACATGACCAAAAGTGAATTTTTAACTTGAGTGGGGAAGTAACTAAATGCTGTCTGCAAGGAGCTGGACTAAGAAACAGTGTCTCCATTCAGAGCTGAAATTGGCAGCAGAGCTGTCCAAAAAGTTCCAACAAGAAGCGAAGGAGAGGAAGAGAGTCTTTTTTGTTTGCAGATCATAAATACAGTTCTCCCCTTGATGTGGACAATCTCCTCTTAATATGGTACTTTTGGGAAATCCCAGAACACCACCTGCACTTTCTGGGAGAGTTTGCTGAGCTGATAAAAATCTTAAATTTCTCTTCAGCTTTGGTTGCTCGAGGACTCAGAAAGGCCAATGAGAGCCCTTATTTAGGCAGATTTGTGCTTCTCGGAGAAACTGAGCATCATTCAGTGTCAGGATCATACACATTCAGACAGTTCTTCTCTCTCACTGTGCTCGCTTTCTGTCCTAAAATAGCCTTCTGTTGCAATGTAACCAAGTGGTTTTAGCACTGAGACTCATGAGGTCTGGGTGCTAGGACTGGCTCTACCACTGACCGGCTGGCTGTGCCTCAGTTTCCCCCTCTGGAAAATGGGAACAACGATACCAACCTCCTTTGTCACTTTCTGGATGAACATCCCTGTATAAGGGCCAGGCATTATTATTGTTCAATTGTCAACAGGCCCCATCTCTTGCATCCAGAACAATACTGGAAACCCAGTGATTCTATACCACCATGTTACATTTGTTTGGCTGATGTTTGTCCTGCCCTCATTTTGTAAATCCACTGCAATGTTCCCTGGCAGTGGTCCCTGTAAGCCATGCACTTGTGCAGTCACCCAGGAGATATTCAAATGCTGCCCCACTCATTAGCAGTGTGCCCACAGCTAGCTTTTTTGTTTCTACTCATGGTGCACAGTCCCACATTCCGTGGTGCACATAAATTTATTCTGCAGATGAATGGGAAAAGTCTGCACCTCGAGAGAAAAGATTCGAGGGAACATTAGTTCCTGGTTGATATAATTTGTATATTGTCCACTTACATCACTGTACAAATAACAAAGTGTATTTATTTTCTGAATAGAATCTGGTCTAGTGATTACAGAGTAAGACTCTGCCAGGATCTCAGCTACAGAGGCACAGGTCAAGGCCCACACTGGAGAGGACTGGAGACCAGGGTTCCCAATTCAGTTTACAGGGTCAATACCAGAAGCAGCAATACATACCGATTTCAGGTTATCAGGTCAGGTTGCAGTTGAGACCAATGCGCTGGGTTGGAGCCACATGAACCTGATAAAGTTGGGTTAGTGGAACTTTGGATGTCCATCTTGTAAAATAGCTGCCACTTCATGCAAGCAAGAAGGTCACGTAGTCTGAAAGTATGAGGAAAGTGAAATATTTTATCATGCAAAAAGCTTGCCCAGTAACAAACATGCACCGAGTGATAGTTTGTTATGCAGCTTGCTACTATAAAAAGAATTACAACTGTATCTTGAGATAAAACACACTGCGGTGGGTTTTCGCTAGCATTGCAAATAAACTACTCTCCGTACATTTGCTGAGTCTGAGACTCACTTCGACAGAACAGAAAGAGAGCCAGGGGTCCGGTGCAGAACGAGGGAACAAGAGTGGGCATCAGGAACTAGGAACAAGATAAGAGAACAGGAGCATGTAATGGGGTTTGTTGCAGCTGCAAGCCAGGCAGCCTACTAGCGGCAGGGTCACCAAGGTTACGTCTACACAGCAGGGCTAAAGTTGAATTCAGCAACACCACTTCAGCTATGTCAATTGCATAGCTGACGTGGACGTAGCTTAATTCGGCTTTTGGCACTGCCTACACGGCAGGAAGTCGAAGGAAGAACACTCTTCCTTTGATTTCCCTTACTGCTTGTGAAATGAGGGTTACCATGAGTTGGAGTAAGAAGTCCTCCAGCTTGACATTATTTTGAAATAAAGGCTTGTAGTGTAGACATGCATTATGTTATTTCGGAATAACATTAGTTATTGCAGAATAACGCTGCTGTGTTTTCCCTAAGCCTAAAATAGCATGCTTGCATCAGTGATGGAACATGGCTGGCTCCACCTGTTATGACTGCTGCAAATGAGACATCCGGTGGTAGTTGGATCTGTGGGACTCTTAGGCTGTCGTCCGCTACTTCACTAAAGCTATCAGGTGGCAATGTGGACGCACAGGTGTCCAGGAGCTAGCAGAGAGATAGGCAGGACAGTCGGGTTCTAGACCCAACTCTGCAAATGACTGTGATTTTGGGCAAGTTGCTTCTCGATGCAAAAGGCTCTAAGATCCTTACAGCGAAGCACAAAGGCCCTATTGTCTTCGACAGATATCATCCCATTGGAGCTGAGAAATTTCACGCTGGCTCGGATTTTCAAAGCACCAGAAGTTAGATGAAATTTCTGTGCAGTTTTGGTGTCTTGTTTCCAGACCCTGGAAAATCCCAGCATTGCATTTTTATTTTTTTTAATGTCTAATGACAGGTAAAAGGAAAAACGAAATCAGTACTGCAGATTTGGTGCCTGAATTTGAAAGAGCATCTTGAGTTCAACGGCCAAAGTCCAGTTCAGATGTCTGCCTTGTGAACATTTTTGGAGATTACACATGGCTGTCTTCATTGTTTTATTGACTTTGCTACAAGGTGAGTAGCTGGGAACCACATTCCTCATGCAAGTCACCATAATAAAAGTGAGAGTACACCACACTTGCAGGGGACAAAGGTAAATCTGGCTTTAAAATGAAGGAACATCCCTCCTTACATGGAGCAGCTGGAGCATTATGGCCCTATCTGCACAATGGCTAGAAGACACACACATCCGTCCAACAGGAGTGGTGTAAGCAGTCTTGTTATAGACTTGTCAGACCCAGAATATTAGAAAGAAAAGGTGGGAAATGCAGTACCTTTTATTGGACCAAATTCTGTTGATGAGAGACAAGCTTTTAAATTAGACAGAGCTCTGAAGAAGTTAATCCTATATAAGGGTGTGTCTAGACTACAGGGTTTTGTTGACAAAAGTGGACTTTTGTCGACAAAACTATACCTGCAGCCACACTGCCTTTGAGTTATGTTGACATAACGTCGACAAAACTCAGCAGTTTTGTCGACGTATGTAAACCTCATTATACGAGGAATAACGCCTTTTGTCGACAGAGTTCTGTCGATAGAAGGCATTATTGCATCTACACTGTCCTTTGCCTCCACACTGTTTTGTTGACAAAGTGGCTTGCTTTGTCGACAGAACTGGATGTAGTCTAGATGATCTTTGTTGACAGAAGCTTTGTCGACAGTATCTGTCGACAAAACCCTGTAGTCTAGACATACCTTAAGATATTACCTCCTTCTTGTCTCTGAAACAGGGGTGTTGTGAAAATTAAAGTGCTTTTAGCGTTAAATGCCTTATTCTCCACTGCCCTGCACTTTGTGCTGCCATTAATATCAGTGCAAAGTGAGAGCAGAGGAATATGAAAAGCTTTTCAGATCAGAAGGCTCGTGTTTTACACCCATGTTACACTAGTGTAAAATGGCAACCCAAGATGTGAGGTAAGAGTGTCTCCATTTGTGGCCTGACTAAAAAGCCCACAAGTCCTTGGGAAAATGCATTTGCAAAGTAGGTGTAAAATGCTCCTACTGGCATGAGTATTTTTGGAAGCATTTGATATAGATGCCAATGAATGCATGGCCTGCAAGACAACAGCTCCTGTCGGCACTATGTATTTCTGATTATTTTGGGATTTGCTTGTCACTAAATAGAGCCCATAATCTGCATAGCCAAAATACTGCATGCATCATTCTGCTTTTAAACTCAGGCAAAATCCCTGTTGGCATTAATAGGAGTTTTACTTGGCTCAGGACTGTGCTGTAACAGAGTAGGAGCTCAAAGTTTCTCTCTCTGTGCTGATTCACAATGCAAACAAAGGGCTTTATCCAAGCACAGTGCAAAAAACACGGGATTTGAGAGACCTGGGTCTGATCTACAGTAACTTATACCTTATGCAGAATAAATATTACATTTTGTGGGCAAGATCTTTGGCAGGTGAAAATCAGTAAGATGCCCATGCCTTCCATGCTGTTGAGGTTCTGGTCCTCTATTTGGCTAATCCATGTTCTACATTTTTTTTTAAACACAGTGTCAAGTGCCTTATATGGACCAAGGCTATTGATAGGTGAAGTTGGAGGATCGGTCACCATCAAATGTATCTATCCAACCATTAAAGCCAACAGATATAGCAGAAAATATTGGTGTAAAATATCAGGACCCGGAAGTGTTTGCAACTCCATCATTTCTACGAGCCCTTTCACCTCTACAGATCACAAAGAGAGAGCATCCATCACAGACTTCCCTAAAAATGGCACATTCACAGTGCAAATGACACAGCTGGAGCAGAAAGACACTGGGACTTACAGATGTGGCATTGGCAGAAATAACAACGTCTTATTTGTCAGCGTAAATCTGACAGTTTTGGAAGGTATAGTAGCTGGGGGTTTTCACAACAGGCTGATTGCAAAAGGTAGAGCTCTCTTCTGAGCCTGCAAAACCAGCTTTGTAATATTCTGGTGCCACAGTTACAGTGAGTCATTTGGAACCACTATTCTGAGGCCAGGTCTACACTACGGGAGAATGTCGACCTAAGATACACAACTCCAACTATGTGAATAGTGTAGCTGGAGTTGAAATACCCTAAGCTGAATATCTGTAGCATCCCTGTTGTGGGAGGTCGATGGGAGAAACTTTCCCATTGACTTCCCTTGCTCCTCGCAACCCTGTGAAGTACTGGGGTTCATGGGGGTGCCATCGGCATTTGATTTAGCGCGTCCTTACTAGACCTGATAAATCAAACCCTGGAAGATGGATCTCCAGTGTGTCAATCTCTGAGTAAGTATAGACAAGGCCATGGACAGCGAGTATAAGAGGTGGGGGAAGGCATTGCCTTCCCAAGCTGGGAGGCATGGCCCTGCCCACACTCTGTCCACAGCTTCAGCATGGCTCCCAGGCTTCAGCCACACTGAGGCTGAGGAGGCCGGGGCAATGTTCCCTCCCCATGCTCCAGGGCAGGGATGCTCCTGTGGGAGGCCGGAGGCAGAAAGGGTGGGGTTGGGGGTATCCCCCTGCAGTGGTGGGTGGGCTTGACTCCTCTGAGGGACAGGTCCTACGGTAGAAGGACCTACGTTTACCCACCACCCATGGACAAGGCCTAAATGTTGACTAACGAGCATTTCAATCCAAAACAGTGGTTGTTGCAACAACTGTGATGTCTCATTCATACCTCCCTATCCCCTTAGTAAAGACCTGTTATTCACTTTCCAAACATCAGATTTTACTGAAATAGCTGTTAGGAAATAGAAAAAGACAACTGGTCCAATAGGAGTTGCATTAAGTTGTTCTAGTATGTTCTATTCAAACAGGTTCTAATGTGCCCAAATCACCAGACCTGGTACTTGGGGAGCTCAGAGGATCAGTGACAATACATTGCCAATCTGAAAACATCACAGATAGTGGAAGGAAATACTGGTGCAAACTGGGAAAAACTGGCTGTACTGTCATAGCGGACTCTACTGGTTACGTGGGCAGGAATTACGAGGGAAGGATCTCTATAACCTCTGAAGAAAGCTCTGGCACGTTCAAAATCTTGATAAACAGACTAAAGATGGAGGACTCTGGACTGTATAAGTGTGGGGTAGCCATGCTTGGGCACCCTGGAAATGCAAGAACCATCGATCTGCAAGTGACTAAAGGTGAGTCTAGAAAGAAAGAGCCGTTATTTTTTAGAAAGTGCTGAGGTTTGCAAACAGTATTCCCCCCAAAACCCAACATGTGTTTGTAGGGACTTCAAAGCAGCATCATTTAAAGGCTAAGCTGGTATATTCTCCACCTATAGAGTCAACCATTCCTGGAGCACTCAAGTTCCTGAGTGGAGCAGAAGGAGGCTGGGTGTCTGCCAAGTGCCACTACAATCCACAAAGGAATTATGAGATAAAATACTGGTGCAGGTGGACGGAAGTTGGGTGTTCCCTTATGGTTGATACCAGTGGATTCATAAAGGAGGCACATCAAGGAAGAATTCAGATCATCAGCGACAACCAGGAAAATGGGACTTTCACGGTGGTGATGAGCCAACTGGAAGAAGTGGATGCAGGATGGTACTGGTGCGGAGCTAAAGATGGAGAGACAGAGCAAACCTCCTCCATGAAGTTACACATTCAAAAAAGTAAGTGATTTGAGGGACTTAGCCCATCGGGATTAATACCCCTTCCTTTCATGCTCTGCTATTCTGCTCTATCATAGCCCATGTGTCCCTCCCAGCCACAGGTGATAAGAAAAGTCATTGCGTTGAGCAGTAAGCTCTGTTCTCCTTAAGTCTCATCACAGAACAGAAAGGACAGAACTGGAGATGTCTGGTAAAATCGAGACGATGAGGGAGATTTTCAAATGCACAGATTGAAATTTGGTGCCCAATTCCCATCGGCTTTAATGGAAGCTGGATCCTTACCTATAGTTCAGGAATAGGGAAACTTTTTTAGGTTGGGAGCCACTGACCCACAGAAAAAAATCAGTCAGGCACAAGCAAAAAAAAAAAATGCTGGGGGGTGGGGGATATGAGGGGGACAGCCCTGAGCCTTGGGGGCAGATCCAAGCAAGCCAGAGGCTGCCTCTGGGCCTTAGGTTCCCCATTTCAGCTTTATGCCTTTGAAAAGCTCTCTAATGATTGTTATTATTTACTTTGCATGTTATTGTAGGGCCTCGTAGGCTCCACTGTGCTACGTGCCTTGAAGAGCGCCTGTCAAACTTCTCAACCTCAATTTTTTAACAATTACCCAATTGGTTCAGATAGTTAGGTTATTCACCTCCAAACACCAATTTAAGGCACAAGCTTTGTCAGAAAAAAATATATTTTCCAGTCTTTAGATCTTGTATTTAGAAATAAACACTGATGTTCCCCAGCATTTAGATATTGAGCCCTATAGCAGAAAACCCTCCAACGAATAATGGAGTCACTACTTCAGCAACAGGGATCCACTGTCTATTTTGCATGTCTGCACAGTCAGCGGTTTATGTGTGCGTGCAGTTTCCAGAGTTTGCAAGGCAGAAATAGCGACCGTTAGCAAAAGTGTCTGACTTGCCAAAAATGATCGTGGGTTTCCATTAATACTCATACATCATATTATGTAAAGTCAAAGGCCTCCGTGAAAAAGACATGGTCCCTTCTGTGCTGCATGTTTACCCATGACACAGAGTGCAAGGTGAAATGAAAGAGGTGGAGGGATGCTACCAGGAAGGATGCCTTGTTTAATTCACTGGTAAAAATTGCCAGACCTGCAGAGGGTAAGTATTCAAGCCCCGAAATAATGTATTTTCTTCGTTACAATCATGCTCTTCTCTAGGGCCGAGAACATTTGCATCTGGGCGCACAGTATCACCACCATCTGGGCCGATAACATCTGCATCTGGGCGCACAGGATTTCCACCATCTGGGCTGGTAACATCTGCATCTGGGCACACAGCATCACCACCATCTAGGCCAGTAACATCTGCATCTGATCGCACAGCATCACCACCATCTGGGCCGGTAACATCTGCATCTGGGCACACAGCATCACCAACATCTGGGCGCGTAGCATCACCAACATCTGGGCCAGTAACATCTGCATCTGGGTGCACAGCATCACCAACATCTGGGCCAGTAACATCTGCATCTGGGCGCATAGCATCACCAACATCTGGGCCAGTAACATCTGCATCTGGGAGCACAGCATCACCAACATCTGGGACGGTAACATCTGCATCTGGGAGCACAGCATCACCAACATCTGCTATCTCCAGAATCCCCAATCATGTCAGTGTCATAGATCAGACATATCCCATGAGCACAGTCACAGAGGGAATATTGGAAAAAACGTCGGATGCCAAATTTGCAACCGTTAGCAATGCAGTCCATGTCAGGTACGTTAATGAACATGTCTTCCCCAATCATCATTGCCGGGGTCAGCTTACAAGTCTAGTCAGATTATTTTATTTCCATTCATTTAAAACAGTTCATACACAGAAAAGAGAAACATCAGCTCCTGAAGCAACGCCCAAGAGAGCCATCAGCTCCTTGGGCTCCCAGGCAAGGTGTGTGGGGGGAGGGCTGGCTCCACAATCCCATGAGGGGTGGGGCCTCAGGCAGAAGGGGTGGGGCTGGTACCAGTTAGCCCTCAGTGCTGCCCAGACCATATTTCTGCTTCCCAATAATTTTAACTGGGCGCAAATGTTTTTCTTCACTTCCTGTCCTAAACTGGTTGCGTAATGTGGCTATGAGCAGCTGTTCCCTGATGCCTCCTATAGCTTTGTTGACCTGTTTATAAGGAGCTTTGGGGGTTCACAATGGAGAAAAATCTATGGTAATATTACAAATGGAGTAGCCAAAAGGAATGAGGCAATTGTGCAGGGGGTCAGACTAGATGATCATAATGGTCCCTTCTGACCTTAAAGTCTATGAGTCTATGAGTCTAAGATCAGAGTGGCTAATGATTGTGGGAAAAGCTATGGACGTGCCCTGGGGGGCCTTGTGCTTCTAGGCAGATACAGTTCGCCTCAGAGGCTCCCTGTGACCCTCCACACAACCTCTTGTCCTTTACTAGAGGCACGGGTCACAGCCTACTGAGCCAGCCTCATCATAGGCAAGTCCAAGGACCAGGGCCGGCCCACATTTTGGCACTTGAGCTCAAATGATGCCCCCATGCCCCCTTTTCTCCTGCCTGCCTGTTATGTCTCTTGCGCCCTCCCTCCTCCAGCACCGCACTCCCCCATCTCTGTACATCTAGAGCAGAGAGAATACATCTGCACCAGCAGCAGACACAATTGTCTACACTCACGGTCCTAGTGGCGTCTCCCCCTCCCCCACAGTCTAGCACCTGAGGCAGCCGCCTCAGTTTGCCTCATGGTAAGGCCAGCCCTGCCAAGGACTGGAGCAAAGCCCCTCCGTAGTCTTGGTCTCCCCCATCAGGTGCAGACTCTAGTGGCATGGGGAAGAGTTGGGAGGAATCTGGGCCTACCCACTACTCTGGGTTCCAACCCAGGTACTCCAAGGCAGTAGCACCTGGCAGTGTTTCAGTTTTGCAGCCTTCTTCTTGGTACACTTCCCTCCTTGCAGACCTCAGTTCTCCACCAGCGCCCTTCTTCCTCTCAGCCCGTGGCTTTTTCTTTCCTGAGAGGAAGCCTTTTAAACTGGCCCCAGCAGACCAGATGAATTGGAGTGAAAGTTACAGAAGAAGGGGTATATACAAGGAAGGAAAAAGTGTCTTGTATTAATGAAGCTAATCAAGTCAGGGTGGAATTGGGTCATTCATATCATTTGGCGTGGAGATGTGAATATCCAGGGAGGGGAAATTGAGTTAGTAATGCATTAACCAGTTGAGATCCTTATCAATTTAGGATTGAATAGAGTTGAATTTGCAAATTCCATTGAGTTTTGGGGCACAGTCATAAGCAGCTACACCTCCGAATCAAACTCCAGCTCTTATGACGTAGCCTCTAATTGATCTTGTGGACTGTTCTCCTTTGAATCAGGTGGAGAGTTTACCACTTTTTTGTTTCACTCTTCAAACTGCAGAAAACAGATGCACTGAATGCAAACACAGGCTGTGCTAAGGCACTTTGTGTGTACAATCCCTGTCACTCAATCCCAGCTAATCTCGATGCTTTATTTTTCCAGCTCATCAACCAGTGAACTGCAATTTCTTCCAATTGTGATGACAGTCCTTGTGCTGCTGTTTCTTGTCCTTGTTATTATTCTTATCTTTATTAAAGTAAAGCGTCAAAAGAAGAAGGGTAAGTCAGAGTAGCAACCCTCTGCTGGTGGTTTTCATGTTGTGTTTAGCCATGTGTCTTTGTTTTCCGCACACAACCCCTCTAAATCTCTCCAAGCTGCCTTCTACACAGACGGGCATTTTGTATACAGTTCAATGTAGCCTGAAAAAGCAGACACCTACACAGTGAAGTTACCTATATGAAAACTTTACTTTAGATCAGAAATAAGAAAGAACAAAAGTAAAGGACACTCAAACAAAGCAGAACCTGCTCTTTGTGTATTGGAGTCGGTGACAAAAAGATCCCCTTGGCTTTTATGGTGCAGGATCAGGATCTCAAGACTTGCTGTTCCATACAAACTCCTAGCATGCCAGCTCTTTTCCGAATGGTACACAGATTTACTAAAAAAAAAAAAATCATGCTGGTGAAATGAAAATGCTGTTAAATCTCACTGAAGAATACATTATATGAAATTTGAGATTTTAGAAACTGAAAGAGAGTTTTAATGAATAAAGTGTCTAGCAGGGTTCTCTTACTCAATAACAAAGAAAAACAACAAGAAACTACAGGCCTGAACATATGCCTATTGAAATCAATGAGAGTTTGTCTTTGTATCTTTTTTTAAAGAGCTGAACAGACGTTCTATTAAAAACCTTGAAGCAACAGTAAACTTGACTGATTTAAAGTTCTTAGACGAGCAAATGCTGGAGGAAAACATGGATCTAGCAAAGCCATATAAACCTAAGATGGGCGATGACAAAGGTAAACACATGTTCTGGATTCTGGGCTACCAATATCGTCTCCCGGGTTAGAGAAGAGTTAAACGAAACTAAAGTCTGTGTAAATGGCACTGTCAGTAAGAGCCAGGGAGAGATGCGGAAGCAAAGACCCACCCCCAAAACATGGCAAGAAGTTTTTCATTGAGATTTCAGGTTTTTTAAAAAACCATTGACCACTCCCTAAGTGAGTTGGAAAAAGCCCAACCCTAAAGTAACCTTTTCTTGTAAGAAGTTTTCATTGACATATCAAAAACTTACATTTGTTTACCACCTTGAAAATCATGTAATTGATTCTACTTTTTACCTGATTCCATTTCTGAGCATTAATGCATCCCCATATTTAACAGTTAGGCTGAGATTTTGACTGGACCCTAATCCCATCAGTTTCAGTGGGAGCTGAATGGATTTGCGCAAACTCTTTGTCCCAATCTTAGTATCCCTCTAGTTAGTTTAGAATTTTCTGTAGCACCATGTATGTGGAGTCCCATACTAAGTTGTGAGTGTCTAACTTCTGCTTCTAGCCAATCAGTATATCTAAGGGTAATATTCTCCTGGAAGGATCAGAGTAATGGAAGTTCTATGCTGAGGGTTTGCCAGAGAATATCCTATATTTGTACTCATACAGTATAGGCAGTAGGGGTACGTCTAGACTCCAAGCTTCTGTCGACAAAGAGCGTCTAGACTACATCCAGTTCTGTCGACAAAGCAAGCCGCTTTGTCGACATGACAGTGTAGATGCAAAGGACAGCGTAGATGCAATAACGCCTTCTGTCGACAGAACTCTGTTGACAAAAAGGTGTTATTCCTCATAGAATGAGGTTTATAGTCGTCGACAAAACTGCTGAGTTCTGTCGACGTTATGTCGAGAGAACTCAGCGTCAGTGTAGATGTAGGTATAGTTTTGTCGACAAAAGTCCATTTTTGTCAAGAAAACCCCGTAGTCTACACACACCCTAGGTGTCTGCACTCACAGTGCTGGTCAAAGAATATAATTTTATATCCTGAATATAACAAAAAAGGCTCCCTGATTCCTTTACCTAATTCCATGGCTTTAAGCCATTGGCTTTAACAGACTTTGGATCAGACTCCTTGTTCAGTTTATAAAATTATTGGTGGTTTGTTTACTCAAAGCAAATGAGTTTGAGCTTTTCCTCGTGTGCAGCCATTTGAAAGTATTTGATTTCTCATGACCTATCAAAGGGCTAGACAGAAGGCTTTTTTGTTCCTGATGTTGCAATCATGCCATTCTCTTCTGTTCCATGTGTGCAGAGCATTCTTCACCACTTATGAAAGATCCGGGTGGCCTAGATGAAAACCTCTCAGTTTTTCTAAGAAGATAAACAGTTGGGGATCTGTCCGAATATTAGTGGCCTTGGGTAAGGAACTCCTGTAGGAAGCAACTGGGACATTGGGAAAAGCTTAAGAGAGCCCCATTTTGTGGCATTTGATATCAGTAAAATTTACACGTCTGCATTCAGCAACAGCCAAAACAGGAAGAAATTTACAATGATTTGATGACATGTTGTAAATTCCCTGCTAGTGTAAATAGGTGAAACACCCAAAAGAGTTGTACCACTTATTCCAGCAGAATATTTGGTCCACAGAATACACAATTTTTCATTAGACTGCATATATGCAGCTGCACCTCCGAATCAAACTCCAGCTCTTATGACATAGCCTCTAATTGATCTTGTGGACTGTTCTCCTTTGAATCTGGTGGAGAGTTTACCACTTTTTTGTTTCACTCTTCAAACTGCAGAAAACAGATGCACTGAATGCAAACACAGGCTGTGCTAAGGCACTTTGTGTGTACAATCCCTGTCACTCAATCCCAGCTAATCTCGATGCTTTATTTTTCCAGCTCATCAACCAGTGAACTGCAATTTCTTCCAATTGTGATGACAGTCCTTGTGCTGCTGTTTCTTGTCCTTGTTGTTATTCTTATATTATTCTTGTATAATGCTGCATATAGTAACATAACCTTGAACAAAAATTTACAAATTACTATGGTATGTGGCCCCTTACTTTAGAATGATACAATGTTTTTACAAGGGACTTTTATTAAAAACTAGACAATTAGCCCGTCATAAAACAGGATTTTCAGATCTTTCCTTCACGTCAGTTTTCTCTCCTGAGCCTCCGGTCTCTCTCTCTCTCTCTCTCCTCCTCCTACTGCCTTCCCTCCCCAAGCTCTCCTCCATCTCCTGCCTCTCTTTCTCTGTCTCTCTCTTTCTCTTCTCCTCCCCCTCCTGCCTCTCATTCGGGGGGCCGTGGAACCCAAACGGTCGCTTGTGCCACTTGCTCCCATGCGGTGGCCTGGCTGAGCGGTGCAGAAGTCAGCTGAGCACCACAGCGAGAGGCAAAGGGGGGCAGTGACATTCACGGCCAGGGGGTAGGGCCTGGAGCTGCTGCCTCCCGCCGTGGCACTCGGCTGACTTCTGCGCTGCTCAGCCGGGCCGCCGCGGGAGAGCAAGTGGTGCAAGCGAGGTTCTTGGCCTCTGTTCTTACTCTTTTGGACTCTCAAAATGTAAAATGCCTCATTGCTTTTCCCCCCAAAGCCCTAGATTTGATTCTATAAATTCTCTCTCATATATTAGACATCTCAAACATCATATATATAGTAGCCCAGTGACTATGGGTATGTCTACACTACCCCGCTAGTTCGAACTAGCGGGGTAATGTATGCATACCGAACTTGCTAATGAAGCCTGGGATTTGAATTTCCCGGGCTTCATTAGCATAAATCCGGCACCGCCATTTTTAAAAGCCGGCTAGTGCGAACCCCGTGCTGCACGGCTACACGCGGCACGGGCTAGATAGTTCGAACTATGTAGCCATTCCGAACTATCTGTACTCCTCGTTCCACAAGGCTTCATTAGCAAGTTCGGTATGCATACATTACCCCGCTAGTTCGAACTAGCGGGGTAGTGTAGACATACCCATAGTCACTGGGCTACTATATATATGATGTTTGAGATGTCTAATATATGAGAGAGAATTTATAGAATCAAATCTAGGGCTTTGGGGGGAAAAGCAATGAGGCATTTTACATTTTGAGAGTCCAAAAGAGTAAGAACAGAGGCCAAGAACCCCACTAATTCTCATTGGATTATGAGTGCCCATTTTGAAATAACTTAAAAGGAGCAGGAGTGGGGAACCTAAGGGGCCAGATGCGGTCCCTGGCTTGCCTGGATCCTGCCCCTGGGGGCTCAGGACTCCTTCCCACCCCCAGCATGGAGGAGACTAAGCTGGCACTCCAGGCCCTGCTGCCCCCACCCAACTGATTTTTCTGTGGGTCAGCAGCCCCCAAACCAAAAAAGGTTCCACAACCCCTATTTTAGAGGGTGGGTGCTTAATGTTTTCTGAAAAATCAGGCCCCATTACTAACATTGCCCAGTTTTCATATAAGTACTTCATATTAGCCAGAAACAATAGCAGCTAATATTTTCTCTCTGTTTTTGCAGGGATTCCATGGAAAATGTTGTTCCCCCAATTACATCTGCCCACCACCCACAGTGAAGTACCAATTGCTGAAGTCTCAAGGGAACTCAGGGTGTGCACAAGCTAAGATAGACACCGCTATAAATTGCATATTGCACAGCTGAACTCTTAGCTTATTCCCATCTTCAAAAGGGATGTATTTCATGTCATAGGTAGTGATCGTGCAGAAGAACTACAGATTGCACAGTTAGTTGCACTGTTTGCTAAACCAAGAATAAAATGTCTATCTTACAGCCAAGATATTTCTATGTGTAACTCTTATGGAGCAACCCATCTCTTTTATATGTATACTAAAGACAAAACATTTATGATTAAAGGCTATTTAGAAACTTCAAGAGGCACACAGAAGCATCTATGTGGCACATTAGCCATCATGAATGTGTATGGATACTAAGCTTGAATGAACGACAGACTGAAATGCATCTTATGTATCTTATAGACAGGGCTCGCCAAGTGGCGGCGAGCCCTGCTCGCCAGCTACGCGGAAGCGCATGCTGCTCATGCACAGACCACACTGCACATGCGCTGACCACGCTGCACGGCCCCACCAGGCTAAAATCTACTCGCCACGGGCGAGTAGATTGCCTAATTTGTCGAGCCCTGCTTATAGAGATGGACAAAAATTAAGGTGTGGTTTTGGCTTTTGAGATGCCTCATCTGTCAGACTTTGTTTTGGAAAACAAAAATCAGGGGCAGTTTATATCTGAGATTCATATCTAAGGCCATATATTCACTCTGCAACGTTCAATGATGCTGTGATCAATCTTCCGGAGTTTGATTTAGCCCATCTAGTTAAGACCGGCTAAATCAAACTCAGAAGGCGCCCTCATCAACAGCAGGTACTCCTGCTCTTGTGAGTAGTAAGGGAAGCCGATGGGAGTGTTTCCTCCCATCAGCCTCCCACTGTGGGGACACCAGGGAAACTCAAATCAAGGAATGTTGACTCCAGCTAAGTAATTAATGTAGCTAACGTTGTGCATTTTGATTTGACCTTCCCCTTTAGAGTAGACCTGTCCTAAGCCACTCAGGTGCAAGGGGATCTAGATAACCATCCCTGCTTCCAATCCATCTTTACCTCAGAGCTAATCAAACCATTTTGGCCTGACTGTAGCTCAGACTCAAATAATGTCCTTAGTTCTAATGGGTGAACTATGTGCTGTGTTATACATCATACTTGGGACTGAGAAGTAACAGCTCAGGTTTGTTGTCTGAGAAACCAGAATGCACTGGAAAACTTCAGTTTGGCAGGAGGATGCTTCCTTATCAGCAAAAGGCATGTAAATACACTTGTGTAATTCCAGCTAATTTCGAGTCACCGGGCCAGTTTCACTGCTGATTTTAGTTATGGGCTAAATAGTTCAGTAAACAAGGTGCAAAGTAACATTGCTTGAATCAGATTATATTTACTGTATGTGTAAGATATCATAGACCACAAGTGCTTTAACTTATAGCCTCCACTGAGTTGGTTTTCTAGCAGAATCCCTTTTACACACCCACAGTGTACATTACATTCATTTTTCACACTCTCCAAATGGCAAATTGGTGCCAATTACAAACTATTTAATCACTAATGTTCTTAAAAACTATTCCTCAGTGCAAACAACATTATGGAAGAAAAACAGCACAGGACAAGGTCATGCAGACAGCCAAGAAGAGAGAATGTCTGGAAATGGCTAATGGTGTGAAGGAGGGCAGATGTAAACAAGTAAATGGTGGCTATGTGCTGCAACATTATTAATAATTTTTGTGAGGACAGAACAAAATAACCCCAAAGTTAATCTCTGTTCTGGCAACAATGAATGTGGAGACAGGATGATTGCTGTGAATAGTCACAAAGGTGTTGCTGTTTTAAAACTAAGATCCTGAACATCTTTTCTTTATATGCCTAAGTGGCACATTTAAAAGCATCCTGCACCTAGACAACAACTAATCTTGTGTACGTCTTATAACACTTAGGCCAGGTCTACACAAAAAGGGAAGGTCTAATCAAGATACACAACTCCATCTAGTTAATTACATAGCTGGAGTCAACATACCTTGTTTCAAGTTTCCCCGCCATCTCCACAGTGGGAGGCTGATAGGAGCAAACACTCACATCAGCTTCCCTTACTCCTTGCAGAAGAAAGAGTACTGGCCACCAACATGGGGTGCCCTCTGAGTTTGATTTAGCAAGTCTTAACCAGACCCGCTAAATCGTACTCTGAAAGATTGATCACAGCAGCGTTGATCTTCTGTTTAGTGAAGACATGGCCTTAACAGGAGCTTGACTGTTACCTGCAGCTGCAACCCTACTGCATAGAAGGTGCCAATCCACAGGCAAAGATGTGGGAGACCTAACACTCCCCTACTAAACTCTTAACTCCAACAAGGAACTGGAATGACTGCTGCCAGACAAAAATGCCTGAAGCTGAGATCCTATGAAAAAAAATTATAAGCTAAAACCAAAAGCTATCTGATCCACAACTGTATTCAAAATGGTTTGCAGCATTTCGAGCAGCCATCTCTGATTAGGTCTGTAATCAGAGCCCAGGGAGCAAAATCTTCATTTGTCTTTGCCCTCCATTAATACTTGATGATCATTTCACAGTCATAGGTTGAACCTCTCTAGTCTGGCCCCCTCGGGACCTAATTGGTGCTGAACCAGAGAATTTGGAGGGGAGGTCAGTTTTGTCAAGCAGCATTGCCAACACTTCCACTGCTTACTGGGCTCTTAAGACGACATTCAGGGGTAAATTAGTGCTAAATAACAGCACAGTACAGTGAGAGCCAGGACTGGCAGCTGTACAAAACCTTGGCCACACCCATGATAAATTGACACCTAGCTAACTGCAATCATGCTGAACCACGGATGTTGCTGGATCAGAGTATGCTGAACTAGAGAGATTTGACCTGTAATAGATTCATTGATTTATTGGGGGTGGCCAGGCAGGACCAGGAGAATGACAGCTCCCTCTGACCTCCTGCATTACACAGGCCAGAGTATCCTGTTGAATGATTCCTGCATCAAGCCCAAAACTGCTGGGCTGAGCAAGAGCAGATCTTTACAGGACTTAATGTTTTGTCTTAAAGAGGCCCATGTTTTCAAACAGCAAACCTTCAAAAGTCACCTCCTTTCCTCATCAAGATGCAACACCAGCAAGTTCCTACGTAGAAGACAAAACTGTGAGGTCTTTAATTGTCACAAAGATTATGAAAAAGAGATTAAGAGGTTTTCAAAGATTAGAAAATTTTCCCCTATACATAATCCCCTCCAGCTCGTAGCTGGGGCATACTACACATAATCTACATTAGTAAGGAGCATCTGCTGGGGGTACCTATGACTGGGCAAGTGCACCTCCATGAAAACCTGACATTTCCTTATGCTTTACAGAGAACAATGAGAAGCCAGTTGGTTTGTTTCTTATGTGTTAACCTTTAAACTACAGGAAAGCTTCGTAGCCTGCAAAACTGAAACTAACATGCCACTGCAGAGCTCCGCCTGTAAAAATCTGGCAATTTAAGTTCATGGCCATAGAATTATGACCCTAGATTTTGGCAAGACTGAAACAAAACAAGATGGCCTGCCCTAGATGTTGTTTAAAAATTAAACAACACTCCCATTGCATGGTGATCATTCTTCTGCTACATCTGGTCAGCTTTCTGCTTATTACTCTGTGGAAAGGAATGATGGAGCTTTAGGGTTGCATTTCAGCTTCAACGAGCCATTAGCCCTTCCATACAGCAAATTAATGATTGATCCCTCAAAAGGATTACTTTCTCATTTTTGTCTGGACTGTGTTTGGGTTTCCTATAGCACTTTACTTAACAAGGGATCTTTGATTACTCCCTCTCTCTCATGAAGGAGCAGAAGAGATTTCCTCATTAAGGGGACAGCAGAGTTATTGTTCATTTTTCACTTAAGACAACGTAAGAATGTCCATAATGTGTCAGGCCAAAGGTGCATCTAGCCCAGGGTCCTGTCTTCTGACAGTGGCCAATGCCAGGTGCCCCAGAGGGAATGGACAAAACAGGTATATCGCCAAGTGATCCCTCCCCTGCTACCCATTCCCAGCTTCTGACAAACAGAGGCTCCCAGCACTATTCCTACCCATCCTGGCTAACATCCATTGATGGACTGTCCTCTATGAGCTCAATGGAAATAAAAGACAGTTTTTGCCTGCTTCCATGGCATGACCCCATTAGGGCTATGTGGATGGGTAGATCCTTGCACCCCTGCAGAGCTTTGCTTATTTGGAAGGAGCCATCTACATGGGTCAACTTGGAAAAGACTGACAGACATTATTTTCCGAAGAGCTGAAAAACTTGATGCCTAGCAAATTTAGATCTCCTAATTTTCCCAGTGAGGAAATGACATCATACTGGAAATGACCAAACGTGAGCTCCATCAAAGGTGTGTCCCACAAACTGTAGCTAACATGTCTGCATAAACATTACCTGCTGACACAGGCTCACTCCCCCTTCTCTTCTTCCCTGTCTCTCGCTCCGCTATTTCCATCTCAATCGTCTTGTTTTTTTGATGCTGCTTTATGACCAGCTCCACTCAATGCTGCACAACATAGTCACACCACAAAGGTGTCATGAAGATCTCAGATGTATGCGCTTCCCCACATAGAGCAGGTAGTTTCTTTGACTGGATAACTAGCAGCACTTCCATTCAGGACTTCGCCTCCCGATCGGCCCATGTTGTGAAGATGTGTGACACAGCAAATATCTAGGACCGCCAGGAAGAGAGGGCTGGCTGCTTTCCTGGAATTTGACTAAGAGAGACTGTATTGTTGATCTGATTCAGCTCCCATAGAGGTCTCCAGGAAACTTTGCACCTACGACTTCAATTGAGCTTTTAAGGAACTGATTTTTAAGTCCGGAAATCTGACTTTTTTCATAGTGTAGGTCACCAGGAGAGAGAGATGGACACGCCTTATCCCATTCATGATGAGGGATCTCCTTCCCATGGTTGATTAACAGTGCTCTGGGAATTCCAGCAGTTATATATCTGTAACTTAAGTACTTTTTACAAAGGCTCCAGAGTTGATGCTGACAACAGGCTAGGAAGCCTCCCTGGGCAAATTGGTTTGCAACTATAGTAAGGAACAGAATTTCCAGACAGAGATTAACACGATTCATTGGGTAAGAGTCAACATGACTTTAAGAAAAATCATACCTCACCAATCAATTAGAATTCTCTGAGGGGAACCATAAACATGCGGGTCAGAGTGATCCAATGGATATAGTGTACTTGGACTTTCAAGGTCTCTCATCGAAGGCTTTTAAGGAACGATAAGCGGGAAAGCCCTCTCATGGATCAATAATGGGTTAAAAGACAGAACACAGAGGATAGTAATAAATGGCCAGTTTTCAGAATAGAGAGAGGTAACTAGCAATGTCCCCCCAGTGACCTTACTGAGTGTAAGAGCCCTGGTTAGTTCTTGGAAAGAGGCTCAGGTTGTGGATATGGAAGGGAGATAGGAGGATAGGTCTGTCAATAGCTGTTAGTGAACATGGTCAGGGTTATAACCCCATGCTTTGAGTATCCCTAGCCTCTGACTGCCAGAATCTGGGAGTGGACAACAGGGGATGGGTCACTCAGAGATCAGGCATTGGTCACTCTCGAAATGCAGGAGACTGGGTTAGATGGACCATTGCTCTGACCCACTCTTATGTTCTTTTACACTTTTGAAAAGTGCTAAGGAGGGCAGATGGAAACAAGTCAATTAATAATGCAACATTATTAATAACTTTTGTGTGAGGACAGACAATTGTCCTGTCCACAGTGAACGTGGGGACAGAATGGTTAGCAGCTGGAAATGAGGAAGAGGAACCAGACATCATGCAGTCCGCCTGCTCTCTGCAGACCTTCAGCATGTGCTCTACATGTCCCACATTTGGGAACTCAGTGACAGATGAAAGGAGAAGACAAACCATTTTCCTGCAGCTGGCCCACAAAAGCCTGCACTGTGGAAACCTAGGGGGGAAAGAAGGCAGGATGTTGTTGAGTTAGGGACACCAGTTAAATCCATGCTTTGGAAGCCCATCCAGCAAACACCTGGCAAGAGAAGAGGCATAGAAATTTCCTTTAAGTCTGGTTCCAATACCCACTGCATGATTCCTTCCCCTGATCCTGAGTGTCAAGAGAGGGCTGGTCACGAACACACACTGTCCCACACTCACAGTAATCATGTAGTCCAATAGTAACTGCAACACCACTATTATGCTATTGCAACCTTTAATCAAAAAAGTAAACAATAATGTGAACAACCAACTGGTCAGCAAAACGAAAATGTGGCTTAGCTGAAAACAGTCCCATGCGATATTCCTACCTACCTGCATTTTTGGATGATATTCCTTTAAGAAGGCTCAACAGGTAGAAGTCCAGGGCTAGCGTTGAGAGGAGTACTTAAACCACTTTCAATTCTTACAGAATTCAGTGTCCTGTTGGCTACAGAGAAGGAGGCAGGACATACTCACACCCACACACAGAAGATCCTCAGAGGACAGGTTCCTGAGATGGAAACAGAATTCAAGTGACCAGACTAACAGAGAAAAGAAGACGACACCCAAATAGTCTGCAGAACCTACTGTGAGTAATGTTTATAATTTGTCTCCCTAAAATATGAAATCCCCAAATGAGCTACATGTTGGGGCTGGAGAAACAAAAGAACTTAAAGCAAGATTTCCAGCCTGAAAACTCAGTGAGTCTTATTCATACGATAGGCAGATACACAGACACACAGTGGATTTGTTTGTTGGTTTTGCAGAAGTCAGCACTGCAGAATTAGCCCCAAGATTTTTATTGTTTCTTATCTGCAGAAAAAAAAATGTACTTTTGCCTTGTTTAAAAAGTACTAGTGTAGTCTACAGCCATTATTGAAAACACTGTAGATCCGTATCGGATTACCATTTTGGATCATTAGTGCAGAAAGTTGTAGTATATTTTTTAAGGGCCAAGATTTTCAAAGCCAGGTAAGGAATTCAGCTACACCACTCCAGCTAACTTCAGTGGGAGTTGTGTTACTAATTCCCTTAGTGGGCACTAAAAAAATCTCAATCATATTAGCACAGTAGACAGAGATGCAAAGTGGTGGAAGCATAATCTATAAATGAGTCATACGTTATTATCCCCAGATCATGGAAATACCCTCTACTAACATATATGTCACATCAGTGAAGGACTTTTTCTACACATTTTTACTCTGCCCAGTAAATAGGCTAACACAATTATTGGTCTGTGTTATCATTTAGACTATGGATAAATAACAAACATAAACTTTTATTTAATCCTAACATATGTGCCCTGGTGCAATATCTGCTTTTGTCAAACTTTCTATTGTATAATCATCATCAGCACAGTAGTATCTTTGGATTAAAACGACTCCCTGCTTGCCATTGTAATGGCATTTAACTGTAATTGGATTCCCTTTGCAAAGAAAGCTGCTTAAATACAACAAGTAGAAAATCTAGAGACACAAACTAAGAATTCCAAATACATGAGATTTGGCAAAATAGTATATCGTAGTATAAAGTTTTAGCTTAAATATGAGGCCAGATCATTTGAGAGCTTTCCTCTTGGTACTGTGAATTTCAGTCTTACGTCTGACATTAGTCACTTCACTTTCCATGCTGAAAATCATCTTCCGTGAGTAATTCCTAAGACATGATCTAATGGTTATACATATTACAATGATTTAAAATATTAGGATGTCTATTTTAGTCTGTAAGTGGTAAGATACTAGGGTTTCTATAGTACTCAGAACCTTAACACAGATAGGCAAATAGTTGATTTTATCCTAAATCTTAGGGCATTTTCTGTATAGCACATCACAGTTTAATGATGATTATTTATTCTCTACTTATTCAATGCCCTAAACGGGACATTGATTCAGAACCCGAAGAATTTCCTCACTTTCATAGGTGCTCAAGTTGGCAGGTATTACTAGCATTTGAAATGATCTATTGCTCACTCACAGCCCCCCAAAATACATTGGACATATTCCATCCCTCTAGACATGTTGCATTTCCTTCTCCAGCCAATAAAAGTTCATCACTCTAAATGCACATGTTAGTGGATCCCACTGGAATATCCAATATTCTGCTACGTTAATTCCTGAATATTGCCAATGCAGCCTATTGGCTGAATTCTCAGAAGTTAAGAATGTTACATTGCATAGAAAGGGGTATGGTCTAGTAATTATAGTCACGAATGGGGAATCAAGCTTCTCTAGTGACCTTCCAATGTGACCAAGACAAAGTTACTATTGCTTTGTACTTGTTTTCCTATCTGTAAAATGTCTGTAATAACAATTACCTTCAGAAGGGTGCAGAAATTCTTCAAGTGTCCATGCGAAACCCATCAAGATCAGTGTTCCCTGTTGGTTATGAGCTTGTGTAGGAAAATTAAGATGCTGCCCAGCTGATAAGCAGAGCACCCATAGCTAGGTGTTGGGGATTTTTTGGGGGTGGCGGCATTGTATTTTTTGTTTCTACTGATTGTGCACATTCACACATGCCTCGGTGCACATAAAATATCATTCCACACATGGATGAAAAAGATTAGCGGGAACACTGGTCGAGATCCTCAGAAGAAAAGGTCCTACCAAACACAGAAGTGCTAGATGTTAGTTAGCAATGTTGGAAAAGGAGACAGAAAGAGATGGCAGCTGCTGCTTTACCCAATTTTCACTGTCCTGTTTCTGCTTCACATCAGCAGCAAACTGATCCTCCTACCCTCTTCATGTCATTAATCCTCCTGCAGTCCTTTCTTACTTAGTCATTTTACTCATTATCCCTTTTGTGAAAGGACTCTGCAGCAACGCTTCAATTCTGAGAAGATTTTACATAAGTAAACTCTTCTAAGGTGTGACCAAAACCTTCAGCTTTTAGTTCTAAGTAAAAACCCCTATTCTCTGGTAGGGCTGACAAATGTGAATTTTAGCTAGTCAGTTATTTGTTATAAACCCATTAGGAGGGCAAAGTTTTTTCCTAATATCAAATTAAACTTGAAGGCTATGTCTACACTGGCATGATTTTCCGGAAATGCTTATAACGGAAAAGTTTTCAGTTAAAAGCATTTTCGGAAAAGCGCGTCTAGATTGGCAGGACACTTTTCCGCAAAAGCACTTTTTGTGGAAAAGCATCCGTGCCAATCTAAATGTGCTTTTCTGCAAAAAAGCCCCAATCTCCATTTTCGCGATCGGGGCTTTTTTGCGGAAAACAAATCTCTGCTGTCTACACTGGCCCTTTTGCGCAAAAGTTTTTCGGAAAAAGACTTTTCCCGAACGGGAGCAGCATAGTATTTCCGCAAAAGCACTGACAATCTTACATGAGATCGTCAGTGCTTTTGCAGAAATTCGAGCGGCCAGTGTAGACAGTTGGCAAGTTTTTCCGGAAAAGCGGCTGCTTTTCCGGAAAAAGTGGCCAGTCTAGACACAGCCAAAGTGAAATCAGAGCCTCTCTTGGAGGCTGATCTGGGTCATGAATATTCCCTTATTGAGCCTCAACCTTGCTTTTACTTTGTTGGTGAGCAGATCAGTTGTGGCCACTGAATTTGGCTACTCAAACGCATGACATTTAATTGTGCCGGTAAAGCTTTGCAGAAACAGGCTCGGGTTTTCATCCTTAATTATCATCCTACCGCTTTCTTCCTTTTGCAGCAAAAGGCCTTAACAAGGCAGCTAAATAAGCAAAATACTTCTGTACAGAAGAGAAGTCTACATCTGACCCATTCTGGTGACTTGGCATAGAGAAAATGATGAGCCTGTGGCATCTTTCAAAAAAGGTTAGGGAGTAGCCCCTGGTTCCCACTCAGCCTCCCTCCGCGTGACTGAGGCTATGATTTTGTCACAGAGGACATGGAAGTCACGGCATGTGTGATTTTCAGAAACCTTTACACCTCCAGCCTTCAAGGCTCCGAACTGCCGTGTGCAGTGCAGGCATCCCATAGCTGTTGGCTGCCACTGGGGGACTCGCTGTGGGCGGCGGGATAGCGGGACTCCAGCTCCCCGATGCCTACAGAGTTCCGAGCCCCCGTGGGTGGCCCAGCTGCCCAGCCACCGCCATTCCCCATTTTGTCACTGATATTGTTAGTAAAAATTAGAGTCGGCTCACAGGCTTCCGTGAATTTTTCTTTATCGTTTGTGACTTACTAAAATTATCCATGATGAAATCTTAGCCTTACTCATGATATAACTGATTCTAACCTCTGAGGATGCCCATTGGCTATGGCTCAGCAAACAATGGTCACTACCCGTGTCCATACAAGGCACTGCATTGCTTTGTTTAATTCATTGTTTTTGTGGTGCATGGGTTTAAAATGCATTGGGGGGAAACATTCTTGCTCTATTGCATCACTGTCACCTGTTATTTAGTTTGAATGATGTTGAAGGCACCTAGAAACTCAAGAACATCTAGAAATAGCATCGCTCAAGACTGTCATAAGTCCACCTTAGATTAACTTTGTCTGGAACAGGTCTTGCTTTGGAAAAATAGAATGAAAGACCAAGGGGTGCTAATGTTTTGTGATGTGGAAAGAAATCCATTGTACCTCATTCTTGCAAGGTGCAATAACATGCAATTTCTATTTTCACCTGACACCAAAGGGAGGGAAGGGAAGCACAGTCTGCTTTTAAAAATGTTCATTGCATTTTGCTGGATTTTGGGAATTTCCCCAATAATATATTATTAAAACTCAAGGAAGTTGCCACGATTATTATTATTAGCTCCTTTTGAGTTGGAAAGGAGTCAGTTTGCAACCATTAATCCCTGTATTCCCAGCTCATGCGACTCAATATTTAGAGCAGATGCAAAAGTCCATTCCAAATAAAAGAATAAAAAGAAACTGCTCTCTCTCCATGGAGGTGATCAATTCTGTTCACATTCCTGGAAAAGGTGACCAGCTTGATGGTGGCAATCTTTTTTAAAAAAGAAAGTGAATTTGGTGAAATTACAAACCGTGCGCTGTATTTTAATGCTTTGATGATCAAGTAATGTTCCCTTGACAATGGCCATTGTTAAGAGCAAGAGTTAATGACTAATGGATTAGACTGGGCAGTGTGCTGACCCTGCACTTTCTGTACTGCTAGCAAATACCAATTCCTTAAGATTCATTCACAGAGCTGCACCAATGGAGTTTGGGAGGGGCGCTTTAGCACCTTCCTCTGTACAGCAAGAACAGGTGTTTACCAATTCCTAGGTAATCCTGGGACTAGCTCTTGATCTTAGTTGTACTGGTGCCAATCTGGAACGTCTCCAATGGAATTCTAATGGTATAGCTAAGATCATCCCTTGGGAGGGGTTTTTTAAAAGATTTTTTACTGGAAGAAGAAGAAAAATATAAAAATAGAAAGGACGACCAAGTGGAAGATCCCAGGAAGATTCCTATGCCCCCGCCTATAAAGTTTTTAAACCAAGAATCTCAAAGCACTTCAAAAATATTAGTGCATTCAGACTCACCACCCACCTGTAGAGGAGGAAGTCTGTTCCTAGCCAGCCGTTGAAGATTCTTACACCGTCTACATCCCATATGCATTACTGTTCCCATGTTACAGATGAGGGAATCCGAAGGGCACAGACGTATCCACAATT